TTATGACATCAACTATCAGTGGCCCAAAACAGCAGTGCTATAGGGAGTTTGTTTTATGTTGCCATGTTAAAAAAAATTAGCATTTGGCAGCCCACCCCTTGTCTGGTGTTTCTCTGATAAGAAATTATGGTGTCTTTTGGAGAATTAATTCCAATAGCACAATAAATACTGCTCTTTCAGATTTTAGGAGCAGCTGAAAAATACCCAGTTTTCTTCTTTGTGGTCAGTTACAACTTACAGAGAGTTGACACTGGCTCTTACTACGTTAGCAACTCCTTATAACGAGATCAGCTGCAAGGAGGGTGCTTGTTTTTAGGAGGTTTGTTGTCATTGGATACCGCAGTACTGATTTACATTGCTGGGAAGTGCTATTTTTATTGCAAGTCTGCTTCAGCCTCTGGCAATACTGTCTATTTCAGCGCAGTCCCCCCTCCCGTCCTTCCACTTGGCATCTCTGTTGTCACAGCACCAAACGCTGCCGTTTGTTCCTTTCTGCCTTCCCAAATCCCTCTGTGGCACCACTCATCTCTTGTGCTGCCCCTAACCCACTCGCGTGTTTGTGCGAAGGCAAAACAGCCATTGCACCAGCCTGACTGACTGTATCCTTCCTCGCGACGCGGTGCGTTTCCCTGCGGCTCCAGTTTAGCTTTGGGCTAGTACAGGAGGGGTGTCAGTTTATTCACACCTAAATCCTGTTGTGCTGCACTGCCAGGGCTGCACGGAGCAGCTTTGTTCTCACGGCTCTGCAGATGCCAGGAAGCTAAAGCGTGAAGCTGGGCTTTGTAAGCAGGGTTGGGAAGCCCGTGCTGCACGCAGGCTCCATGTGCCGAGCTGGCTCAGGGTAGCGTTCGTGGTGGGGCTTGATGGACTCTTGCAGCAAAGCCTCGTCTACACTTAGAGTGCAGTGGTTTCTCTTGCACTGTGACACCCAGGGCCGGACATACCCTGAGGCGCGCTATCTGCTGGCCAGTGGCACCCGGCACGTGGCGTGGCTGAGGAGCAGAGCCACGCAGGGGGCTCAGCCTTGCCCCAGAGGCTCGTTCTCCAGCATCGGCAGCTGGCGCTGGTGTCTCTGCTGCATCGAGAGGCGCTCTGGGAAGGCTCGTGCTGTTGTGTGACCCTGCACGTAGCTGTCCTCTGCCACGTGGGGCGCAGAGTCCTGCAGGGAAAGCAAGCTGTGGGACTCGTGGGTTGCCCCCTTTGGCATACTAGTTGCTTGTCAAATGTGCCCTGTGCGTCTTGCAGGAAAGCAGTGGAGCTTCATTTTACAAATGGAGGTTACGGTAGAGCTGCCAAAGAAGCACTCAGAGGTGCTCTCCCCTTTTTCCTCCTCCTTCCCTACAGTGAACCAAAATAAACCCGTTTCCTTAGGCAATAAAACCCTTTGGGTCTGAGCAGATACTCTGCTCCTTTCTCCTCCCAGGCAGGTAGGATGGTAGTGGTGGCACCTGATCTGCCCTGGTTGATTTCTTTTCTTCCCCAAACAATAAGAATAAATATAAGAAATAACTTGTCTTCCCTAAGTGAGAGGCAACATTTAAAACCTGCAGGCAAAAGGTGACTTTTCTATCCTATATGTGGCATCCTGACATGATACCTGGAAGTACAACAGCAGTGATGGTGGTGTATCCATGCAATCCGTCATACGTAATCATGCACATAGTTGTGTTACTGCAAATGGCACCTGCGTGTGCAGCAAGAAGCAGGCAATGGCACAGCTAAAATAAGAGGGCAGGACCATTATTACTGCATTCCAGTGCCTGGAAATTAAGAAGTGCGAGAAGCCATGTTGCTGTTGTATGCTTCATTCAGCTCCTCAGACAGCCTCCTAAAACGTGGGCCTGGGATGCAATACTGGAGGCTTCTATATTCTCTCTCCTCAGATGCCATATGGCCGCTCACTGGGTTTATCAGTTGTCTAAAACTGGCAGATAGCGTGTGCAGGCTGGTGCTGACCAAGATACGGGGTAGCTGCCAGCGGTTGTGATCCCCCCTTCTCTGGGGGGTGGGGGGGGCACTGGAGGGATGAGACATGCACTTAATTGGGGATGGCACTGGGCAGCATTCAGAGACACTTACAAATGTTACAGTGATGAGGCTGGGGTCCTGGGACGCTGCACACCTCTTCTGCTCATTTCTTGCCTTGCCCTGAATGCCCTTGTCACAGCTGTAGTCCTCAATCTGTCCATCCCAAATTCAGGCCTTTCCAAAGGACCCAAGTTCTCTTCCATTTCCTCTCATTCCCTACCCCATCCCAGCCTCTTTTTCCCACTCCCTTCTCACCTGAGCTCTCCCTGCTCCTCTGATGTCTCCTCGGCTTTCCTCCGAGGCTCCTCATCATCTCTTCTCACTTCTTGTCCAACTCTGTCCCTGATTGTATGCCGAGCTGTTTTTTTGTTACCCCACGCACCTGTAGGTCTATGGTGCACTTGCTGCTTTTGTCCTCTCCCAGTCTCTCTCCTCCACCAAGATGAGGAGTGTGAGCAGCCAGCGCTTCCACAATCACTGATTTGCGCTAAGTGGGCATCTGGGGACTTAGATGCAGCCGCAATACTAAGATTTTTTTGAACATCTTTTTTTTTTTTTTAATTGTGTTTTTTATAGTAGCCTGGCGATTTGCAGGTTTTCTCCTGCTGTTTTGTCCAAGCTACTGGACAGAGGAAAGATGTATATTTTGTGATTCAGTGACAGACTGGTGGTAGTAGCTTTTTAAATTATCCGTTTCATTTTTTTTAAAATCATTTTTGCCAAAATACAATATAGGACAGCTTGGGATGACCCTCTGTATGGAGCATTGTGCTGTATCCTAGTGAACACCCTCAGGGACACCTCAGGGATGTACCAGCTGAAGAGAGGGGCTCTGGAACATGCAAAAGATATGGGAACAGACACCAAATTAATAAATCAGCATTGCAAGCCATCAAGTTCACAGGTGACTTCTTAGCAAAAATCCAGAGTTTGCTTTGGCAAACTCATCACAGCACGTGAGACTGCTAGGGGTGTGCTTCCACTGCTGGGCTCAGGAGGTGCTGCTGAACTGCACGTATCCAAAAGGTTTCCCCCAGTGATTATTCCTTCTTCAGGAGATTAAACTCCGTTGTGGACTATAAACCTTCTGACAGTGTGTGCTTCCTCCTCCATATCTTTACTGCACCCTGGGGTCATTTTTAAAACCCAACTAACTAGCTTTTTCCATGTGGAATATGTGGCAAATAGCCACTGTATATTAAGGCTCCTATTCAAACCTTATGTGGTATCCCTGAACTGTTTTTCTGTTGACAGCAAATGTTTAGTTTGACCTGCCAGGATTAGCATGTGGGTGCGCTTTTAGTGAAGGTCTCCAACCACGCCAGGACACAGTTGCAATTAAATTGTGATCAGCTGCCTAGCAAACATTGGTCAGCTTAGCATTACAAGGAGGAGTAATGCTGGCTGCCTGCAAGCAAGTGCCAGTTTATTACCCTTGGAGTTTATTGCCCTTCCTAAGTGAAAGCAACCAAACAACCCCCTCTACCCCATGCACGTGTAAACCTCCCAGCAGCGTGGTGTAATGTGACTTAGCATGACTGGGAATGCGTGCAAGGCAGGCAGCGCAGGCTGTTTGCGTGGAGCGCGAATGACTGTGTGAGCTCAGTGGTTGTTTTCCTTCTTTTCTGATTATTTATTTATGTTTTTAGAATGACCTTGGACCTGGAATGATTGCTCCCTCAGTCCTATGTCCTTGCTTATACTTCCACACAAACAGTCTTTAGGCAGGTCACGTGACGTGTTACAAAAAAAGGCTTACGTTTCTGCAGTGTGGTGGGTCAGTACAAACTGACGCTCTTGGTGACTCTTCCTATACGGGGAGAGAGCGGACTGCATGTTTTGACTTGCATTAGCATTGTGTACTTGTGTTCAAAATATGGATTGTCCTAGCTGTAGAGTATTTGGGAAATGAACATTAAGTCCTACCCTACTGCATGTGCATGACGGCATTTGATGGATTGGAATGAGTGCAGGCAAGACATAATTGTTCATAATTATGACAAACCATGTGCAATGCTTATGCTGTGAACTACAAAGCTTTTGTCCACTACCACTTATCCAGCTGCTTAAAAAGCTCTCCAGTTAAAGTATACGAAGCTCAGAAATAGCCTTCAGGAACTCGTTGTTCACGTTTCATCGAAGGCACTGAAGAAAATTGGTTTGAAGCACTTGCTTCTATTCCCCAGAGTTTCTCCTGATGTAGGAGGGCAGGAGCTGGATTGCAGGACGGGGGATGGCTCAGTGAGACAGCAAGATGAAAGCAAAGATGGTTGTTAAAAGGAAATCTGGGCATTGCTCTTGACCTGTGCCCTTGATAAAAATCTCTAGTGATGTTCAGTCTTCCGATAAATAGCTGCAGACATGTCATTTTCCCCTCTTTCTGTCTTACTGGACCATCTGTGTCTTCTGGGTTCTTTGTTCTTGTTTCTTCTGTAATAAGAAATGTTTTCTTGTATCCATCAGAAGAGTTTGTGTTTGTTTCAATAAATGCTTAAAAAAAAAAAAGTGCGTGCATGAGAGAGCATATGTGATACTCTGCATTGTGTGAGCACAAAATTGCACGCTCAAGAAGTAACTGCTGAAGTGAATTGATTTTACGTTTGCACCAAGTTACTTTGTTTTACAGTTGGCGTTGTCAGCGTGCGACAGTCGCGTTTACAGAACACCGCTGAGGTGAATATCCGAGCTGGGTATTTTTAAGCGTTGGATGCCTTGACAGCCGCGGGCATTTGGAGCAGTAATTGCTGAGCTGAGAGCGCTGCAGGCTGTGGGGCAGAGACTGCCTTGTCAGTGCAGCGCTGTGCCTCTTGGCTAGGCGAGCGGCGTGCCCGGCAAAGAGGAGTTTCAGCCCAGTGTTAAGTATAAACCGTTGCTGATAGAGACAGACGCTGCATCCTCCAGCGTGGCTGATCTCCTCACGGTCCAAGTCCTTCCCTTCAGTTATACTTTTCCCCTTCTTTTGTGTCTTATAGCGTCAAGATGGTGCTGATGTGGACAAGTGGGGACACCTTCAAGACTGTTTACTTTATCTTGAATCAGGCCCCTTTCCAGTTCTCCATCTGCGGGCTCCTCCAGGTTTTTGTGGACATCGCTATTCTGCTGCAGGTTTACTTGTACAGCTCGTACCCTCAGAAGCCCGCGTCCCACCCTGCGCACCCTGCCAGCACCAAGGCCCTGTGAGGTGCTCAGCTGGACGGGCTGCAGGTCAGCGGTGCTGCAGTGTCACCTGGGGCGGCTCCTCTTCCATTTGTAAATACTCCTACGTTGCCGAGTTGAAAGCAGAAATGAGAACAAGGATTGGAAATCCGACTGCAGTTCCAGCTCTGGAGGTTTTGGTTTAAATAACTTTCTCTCTCTCTTTTCTGACTTGCTGTACAGACCTGGTTCCTGGTGGGGGGAGGGGCACTTTATTTTTGCATATGTACCCATGAGCCTTATCAATTCACATACGTTTGTATATTTAATCACAAGGGCTGGATGTTTTGTGTTTTTAATGCTATTTAAAAATGTTACACCACAGAAATTATAGGATATTTTGTCTGAAACTTTTACCTATTTATATAATATAAAGTCTGTACGTTGGCAGGAAGCGTGTGGCATATGTTAGCATTCAGTATCACCACGATGTAGGAAGAAGAGCGAATGCAGTTCTCTCTCTCTCTTTTTTTTTTTTTTTTCCTTTAAGAAGGATGTCCGATGAGCAGAGAAGGTGAGGGAGGAGGGAGGCCCTGCGAAGAGGGGAACGAAGGAAATGAATCAGTCCCAGGCAGTATAAAGCATCAGTGTGCTAACAAGTGGAAGGTAGGTGTTCGCCCCTGCTGCGGGATCAGTGTGGTAGGTGAACACGTGACGGTGATGAAGGGGGTCTGAGTATGGGTGATGCCGTAGCCAAATCTAAAACAGATGCAGCTAGTCCACGCGTTCAGCCAAAAGGAGAAGCGAACAGTAGACTGCAGGAGAGGCTCTGGATAGTCTTGCTTTGAAATGGCAGGTTTGGCAATAGCCCACCCTGTGCTCAAGAGTGCAGCACTGCTCCTACAGTGGTGCAGGCGGCAGAGCTGGGCTGTAGGATGCCTGTTGCAAACCAAGGGGCCAGTAGATGTATGTTGCCAGTATTGCCAGGTGAGTATTTCTAGATGACAGTTGAGAGCCATAAAGACAGAAGCAACCCTACTTTCATTGCCTCAGAGGGGAAAATGAAAAAGGTTGAGACAGAGAAAAAGATCATATCCTGTGGAGTATGGCCAGCATCTAACAATTTGATTTGTTGAGGCTGAGGTTCGTACTCAACGTTCTTTGATGCCAAATAAGCCCAGTTTATATTTTGGGACATCTCTTGCATTGGCCTGACAGGAAGGGAGTCCCCATTTTCCTTTTTCTGCTGCTTAAGATCTTCCAGGCTCAGACAGTCTGTAGTTGGACTGAGGGACTGAAAAGGCTAAAAGAGCAGGGAGTTTATTTATAAATATAAATGTTGTCTATAACGGATACTTGCCAGCATAGGTCACTGTGCCCTTTCTGAGAAGCGCACGTGTCTAGAGGCTGCCCGTGGTGTGCAGCCCGCAGGGGGCTGTGACCAAGGCCCTGGGCTCCTGCCAGTTGCCATAATGAAACTGCCTTGGTTGGTAGGAGACAGCTACAGCAAGATGCTGAGTCCCAGGAACAGTTACGCCTGCACTGCTGTCTTCTGTGTGAGACTCGCTCACTACTGCCAGATGAATCCTGTACGACCACAGACAAGGTGTTGGAGCTGGGAGAGAGTTTTGAGAACGTTTTTTTTTCCTCCCAGAATAGCCCAGGAGCTCATATTTTCTTAAGTATGGCAGCAGGTCTGAGGTTTAACAGCTTCAGTGTTTAAATCGGGGACTTTTCCTACTCTGTTTTATCTGGAATCTCATGATCTGAGTCTTGACTGTCTTCGCTGGTGACAAATTGTCCTCTGCAGGAGAAGCCACAGCAGGCCGCGGCAGCAGTGGTGACATGCTTGCTTGCGCGTGTCTGCATATCTTCCCTGAGATAGGGAAGATGGGGCTGGCCCTGTGCTGCTTTACAGACCTGCACCCCTCTCACTCCCCGGTGGGCCCTGAGCTGACATGGGGGCTCCCCCCGCATGTGCGATTTGGTTTTGGAGCTGACGTGCTGGGGGCAGAGGGCTGAGGAGGCTCGAAGGTGCTGACTGAGCCGTCCTTTGCGCGAGTGCACTGCTGGTGCTGGAGGAAGGGGCATCCCTGGGGACTCACAGCCCCCAGCAGACCCGATGCGAAGCCCAGGAGAGCTGCTCGCTGCGTGCGACGGCTAGGCACAGTGGGCTCGGGCCAGGTGCTGGCTCCGTGCTTTTTGTTTGATACCATACTCTTCTAGGCCTGAAGTGACCTTACAAAGATGATGTACCCGGCATGGCAGATTATGAATGTTTTATTCCTCTCTTTTCTCCAATGTTCTGGTTGTGTTATAAGAACATCTGGGCTTTTGTCTTTTTTAATTGAAAACATACTTAACAACTGGCCTCGCTGGTATGCTGCTTTAATGAGGATTGTATTTCTACTGTATGCAAATGAACACTTGTGTGTTTTAATCGTCTAAAGTTTTTTTAATAACTTGTAATGATAAGATTTTTGTATATGGTGGTCTTTTTCTAATATTCTATGAAACAGGGGTATAAGAAATAAATGGCTGTTAAGAAATAGGCTTTGTATGTTATAGCTTAACCTGGGAATGCACCTACTTGGTCACCTCTTTGGCTTTGAACTACAGGTATTACTGAGGAGAAAACAGCTGCTGTTTTTTCTACTTGGGACTCTTTCACTGTGCAGATTCTTAAGTCTGTTATCAGTACCAAAACCAGTGAGCTCTGCAGATGAGCCTCATTCATACCAGAACTGCAAATGCTGGAAGAGAAGCCAGTGAACTAATGTCTAAAATCATTTTCTATATATGGCATTCAACAAGGTTGGACACTTAGCCAGGAACTCTTGAACTTCAGCTGATAAGATACTTTAGAGACAAAATGTTACAGAACTTCATTTTTGTTCTTTGTCAGGAAATATTTGTATCAATGATCACCTCAGAGAATTAAGAAATCAATTACTTAAATACATCTCTTTGAATGTATGGCACATTTCATGGAGTTTATTTTCTGTCAGTTGCAGTGATTTAAAAAAAATAAAAATAATCTGTTATACATAAATTGTAGTGTTGCTTTGTTTTGTTCAGACCTAAGATACTTTTTTCTTAACTCTTAAAGCTCATCTGATCCAGAACATTGTAGAAATGATGAGCACGCCTTTTTTTTGTCAGACTGGGTGGGTAAGCACAAGGCGCAAGTTGTCCTGAGGTCATGATGCAAGACAGGGTTTGGATTTCTGGTTTCTATCCCCATCTCTTCTATGCTTTCTGGGGTGACCTTATCCTCCAGGTTTCTTAACCCTTTTATGCTTGTGCTGCTCACACTAAAAAGAAAATACCAAAAGGTTATTATGTAGCTTTTAAAAAAAAAAAAACTGTAACATGCAAATTGTGTAAGGACCTCACGTTTGGAAAAGTACAGAGAGATACAACTGAGGGACATGCTTTTCACAGCATCCACAAGGACGATGAGGAAGTTGGATGTGTCATTTCATGACTGACCATGTGTGCAAGAGGAGTCACGTCCCCCTCCCCTGGTAATTCAGGATGTGACCCAAGCCATGAAATCCAGGCTCAGCCTCACGAGCAGCATGCAGCTGCCCCTGGGCACAGTGCGGGGCAGCCAGCGGCAGCTCAGCTGCTCCTGCTGCTCCGGGGGTTTGCTCTTGCTGCTTTCAGTGCCTGGGGGAGCTGGAGAAGGGGGAGTGGGTGAGGAGAGAGGCTGGGGGCACAGGAGCAGGGGATTTGGGAGGGGATGAGACAGGAAGTAAAGACTCAATTCATGCAGGTAAGGGGCTGACAAGAGAGACTCCTGGAGTTGAAGGAGTGAAGGAAAACCGAGACCTGGGTGGCTGGAGGTATGAAATCCAGTGGAGCTGGGAGGGAAATGGCAGGGTGTGGGAGTAAAGCATAAAGCTGCCTGATCTGTTATGGTTTACGTGCAGGAGAGACTGTGGAGGGCACTGGCCCAGGCGGTTCCCATGACAGATGAGAATATATGCACTCATTGCTCAGAGTGGTTTCACTGTCTACCCAAATAGTAGCGGCGTTACCAGCTGCTGCTCTGGCTCTCGCTGAGGATAAGCTCATGGTGAGACTGAACCTAACTGAAAAAACTGGGAGCCCCTTCAATAAAGGAGCTCTCCTGGGTGCATGTCGATGTTGCACCAGGTTCAGCACAGCGATGAGTCGCCTTGTCCCGTGTCCCATGGGCTGGCGCAGTGCTGGCTGCACTGGCCCTGGACACGGGGGTGCTGCTCTCCCTTGGGCCCCTATAAGGAAAGCCAGCGCCCTGAGCTGCAACTCCACAGAGCAAAGCTCAGATAGAAATGTCATTCTTGTGTGTTTGGGTGTATATATCTATACAACTAGAAGTAATGAAAAACATATTTTAAGAAAAAAGGCAAAGCTTAAATTCTGCTCTTTCAGTTTGCATGGGTTAGTAAAGCAAAATTTGGCCTAGAGATGCTGGTTTTTTAAAAATTTAATTGTGATCCTTTGCTTAGTCTTGAGTACCAAGAAGACTTCAAGGACCTGATTAACAGCTGTGGCTTTGTTGGTGGCTTTCTCTAACAGAAAAAAGACATTAGTGTGAAAGCAAACAATATGCCAAATAAATAAACATACTGCCTGAATGCTTGTGACAGCAGCAGTAAATACAAGAAACTGGACTAGAACAAAATGTGAAGCACAGTCAAAAACCTAGAGCAGATTTCTCTGTAACAAGGCTCGTAAAGCAGCCAGGTCCCGAGCGGACGTTAGCATCTGGAAGTGCCCCAACAGAAAATGCAGATTGATGACCTCCAGCCCCCCCATCCTGCTGGATCTGTGGATCTGTGTCCCAATTTTCTTGTATTTGATTTGTGTAGGTGCTGGCGTACCTGGGCTGGGAGAAGGAAGGGTTTCGTATAGCCTCAGATGGGCCAGCAGAACCACTCTGAATTTCTCTACCCATCATCCTCTTTAGCTGTATCTTTTCTCTCCTGCTCCAGCTCCTTATACTTTCTTTTAAGGCTGTAGCTAGTAGGAGGCAGGTCCTGTGGGAGCTAAGGATGCTTTAATCTCTGTGTAGCATCTGCTCTGGGGCTGCCATGGACCATGCCTCTGGCCTCGATAGTGTAAGACTTACTGACGCTGGCATGTACGTAGAAATGTTTATTGCGGTTATAGAAATGCCCTTAAATCATTCGTATGCAGTGCCAAAGGAAAAAAAAAAAACACACACACATACGTAACAAAACCAATGTTTCTCCAGCTGCTGATCAAAAGTAATAAACATCACTCATAATAACAGCTTTACTGGGTGAAACTCATTCTCCTCTGGGTATCTTTTGTGTCTGGCAATTTGTGCATCAAAACTTTATGCAGCTTCCAGAAATAATTTGTTTAAAAGCTTCCTGGTTTATATTTGTTTCCTCATCTGTCATCGCTATAGATAAAGTGGAACTTTATTAAAAGCCCGACCTTGACTAACAGCATAATGAGTGGGTTTTGTCACTTTATTAAAATTCTGTGCATGCTGGAATTAATTATGTGCTTTTTGAAAACATAAAGCCCTCCCGGCTGTAGGACAATAGCAACTTGATGGAGGGAGCACAGCAGTAATACGGTGTGCCATCATTTTGTTTTTCTGCACAGCTGTTGAGCTGCAGTTAGCCATCTCTGTGCAGTTTTTTCCACATTGCAGGGCCAGAAGAGGCGTTCACTAATGGTTACTTGCTAGCACTTTGAGTCTGAAACTTTTCTTTTTGCAGCGAAGACGCCACAACGCGGCTCTTTGAAGAACACGCTAACGCTGCTGGTCATTCATGGGCCTCCCCGTCTTCATGAGCTGCCTGCTGCAGCTGCATGATCACTGTGTTCGCTGCAGCCGTAGCTCTGACTAGCATGTGGTGTTTAGGAAACATGAAATACCTACTGTGAAAAGCTTTCACTTTTGGGTTCACCTGATGAATCTGCTGGGTGTTCCCACCTTAAGTCTGGGTACCAGAGCGCCACCATAAACCACACTGCTCCCTCTTGTCACCCTGCCATGCCTTGCCCCCCTCCCCCAACTGCTCACTTGGCCGATTTGCGTTTAGCGGGCCACAAATCTGTATTTGTTGGTGCTAAACCTTAATATGAAAGCTTTCACTTTTGGGTTCACCTGATGAATCTGCTGGGTGTTCCCACCTTAAGTCTGGGTACCAGAGCGCCACCATAAACCACACTGCTCCCTCTTGTCACCCTGCCATGCCTTGCCCCCCTCCCCCAACTGCTCACTTGGCCGATTTGCGTTTAGCGGGCCACAAATCTGTATTTGTTGGTGCTAAACCTTAATATGCCTTAGTGCAAGAAATGTCTCTGTCACAGTTCTCTTTTAAAAAAAAATAATAATAATAATTAAACTCTGCCATGAGTCACAGCAACCCAGTACTGGTACTGATCTGCCAGGAGGCTGAGTCAGCCTGGAGAAGCAGCCACCACAGCCTGGCCCGCCTCACCTGGCACAAGGAGATTCACTCACTGGGGCGGCAGGGTATCAA